GCATGGGATGGGGAAAGACTTTCTAACAGTCAGAATGATCCCAGAATGGGACCAATGATCTCTGGAGAAAGTGATTCCTCATTACTGGGTTTGTTTAAAACACTGAATATTATTGGGGCGCCTGGGTGGCTCAGTCTGTTAAGCTCAGGTCATGATCTCATGTGGGTTTGTGGGTTCAAGCCCCGCATCGGGCTCTGTGCTGACAGCTAGCTAAGAGCCTGGAGTCTCAGGTTCTGTGTCTTCCTCTTTCTAAGACCTTCCCCTGCTCACACTGTCTTTCTCTCTCTCTCAGAAATAAATAAAACATTAAAAAATTGAATATTCTTCTAGTTTGTCCTAGTACCCTCAGAGCCAAGGCAATGTAGGGACTTGGGAATGATGCTGGCCTCTCGTGAAAAGTTTGTATTCCTACTCGGCTTCAAGGAGTATCCATCTCAGGTAACCTTAGTCTACCTGATTCCGATGGACTCAGCAGGACGTCCAAGCCCAACATTCTGTGGAGTCTGCACACTAGAATTGAAAAGCCCAGAGTCTGGACTCTCCTGTGGCCCTGCCAACCATTTCTCACTGCCCCCTACCCAACTGAGAACCACGGTCTAGACACTAGACCATGGAGCCACCCCTTTCAAAGCTCCCCTGGTCCTTTTGACGAAAGCACAAGTTTGGAACATTCTCATGACAAATGAGAAACTCTACAGATATCATTGTGGTCCTTGGTGACTTGAAACCTACCCAGGATTTCAGTCGTCTGTCCCAGGGCTCTGTTTTCTTCAACTTCTGGTAGCAATAAATGGTTTGCAATTCTCTCTGTGCACCTTGTGTCCAGAAAGGGAGCAATCTGAGAACTTGGCTTTGGGCATGGGAGACATGGGGACAAAGGAGACTTCCAGACTTGTTTCTATGTGAATCCTTCATATGTGATGAAATGGGGGAACTCAGCAGGGCTCAGTCTGACCTCCTGTGAATGGAACTGTGTTACTCTGGGGCTGTTTCCTTCCCTTGTATGTACGCTATGCACACTCCTTACTGGGACCTTCATGGGGAAGGGGTGGCTGTGGGCCTAAGCCTTCCACACATATTCTTCAGTTACCTAATCATAGGCCATTTATGTCTCTGCCCCCCACAAGAAGCTGAGGGCTATTCAAAGGTTGGCCCACGTTTTTCTGTTTTCTGTTTTTCCACTTCTCTGCACAGTACTTGGCAAAAAGGACATGCTCAAAGAATTACTTATTCACAAGAAATTAATACATGAGGAATGAAACTTTCCAGAGGCTGTGTGGGATAGAGGCAGGAGAAGGGTTTTTTTTTTTTTTTTTTTTTTTTCAGTTTCTATGACAAATGAGACATAGGGATTTTACTTTCCATTACACAGATTTGTGAACTCGGAGAAAAGAAATTACCCAAGACAGAGCCAGGCAAAGAGACTTCAACTGAGGACTCATAGTATTTTCTCAGATCTGCCTCCCTCCCCTCCAGGTGCTCTTTAACTCAAATCCATACTGGCATATTTGAGGCTACATAATGGGTGTAACCAGGACAATTACATTGTCACTTTTCAGAATCAGTTGTATAACTTTCCAAACTTCATCAAAGAAGTGTTCTAAAATATCTGTTAACTCATGGGCTATCTGATTGTTTCCTGAGATGGAGCCCAGGGTCCCCCAGGTCTCTTTGTCCAACATCAGCCACCTGCTTCTAGGTGACCACCATCATCCTTCTCCACATAAGAGCATCCCCTGTGAACATCACCAGTATAAGATGTCACTGGCACCATCAACCAGGCCTTGAATAAATTCTGTCAAGGGTCTCCAGATCCAATGTTGTGTAAAAACCTGGGCTCCTTTCTCCTACCACTCCCACACCTGCCCTTTTGTGCTCAACCTAAACTCACTCCTGGCTTTTCCCAAACCAGATGGGAGAACACAACACAAAGGGAAGAGTCACAGGCTGAATTGCCCAGGAATAAAGTGCTGAAGATGTTGAGCATGTCACATATTTATTAAGAGTACCCTTCAGATAAAAACCTGGGGAAGGGACAAAAATCGAGGTCAGTGGCAGAGAGAGATACTCAGTTGTACTGCAAACCCAATGGCAGTTTTGACTAACCCTGTGGAAAGCTCTGGAGTTATAAGTGACCCTTCAGCATTGTTTCCAGTTGAGCTAAAATACTTAACTCTTCCACATCAACTATTTAATTAGATTGGCCACCTGATAGAGGGGGATCGATCTTAGGTGAGTGGCTTTCTGCACCAAAAGAGGTGACAAATGTCAAGGTTGTCTGCCAACAGTCCTTCAGCACCCAGGCCAGTAAGCCCTTATTGAAGGGGACTCCAGAAGCACATCATAGCATCTACCATAGTGTAGTAAAGAGCTGTTCTATCTCCCTCAATGTGTAGAACCAGCACATGCTTCACGCCCAAGTCAGCAATTCAGAGTAACCAACATATGAACTGGCCATATAATGTGGATTCCAAGAAGGGACACTGACTGCCAACAGCCCCCTCCTAATCCCTGTGTGCATGGGTCAACTCCTCCCATGCGGGGAGCATGTGGGGCACTCCCCCCATTTGCCTGTCCAGTACTTCTTGTTCTCAGTTGAGACTAGAGTTGGGTCCTGAATCCTCATCTGGTTTTAGGAGGCCATAATCCCTGGTCAGTCTCTTCCCAGTCCTTATCGACAGATTCACTCTCTTTCCATTCTGCCACAAGTGGATGGACCATAGGCAGCCATGCCTCTGCACCCACCTACCATTGACTTCTCTCCTCTCCCTATATTCATCTTCTCTATTGTGTCAATCCTTGTCAGGTAACAAGGCCTGCTTGGCCCCAAACAGAGCTCCCTCCATCACATTGACAAAGAGCCCCTAAATGCCTGTGACAGCAGTAGGGCCAGGCTCCAGGTGCTCACTTCTGGCCATTTCCTATTGCCCATGTGGCAGGAGCTCATTTTAGGTAACAAACATCTTCATGATGGATGTGACTACAGATGAGGTTGCAAGAGATTCTGAGGATGTACTCAGTGACCAGCCTGCAAAGTTAAGAAGCAGATATATTTAGGGGCACCTGGGTGGCTCAGTCGGTTAAGCGTCCGACTTCAGCTCAGGTCATGATCTCACGGTTCGTGGGTTCGAGCCCCGCATCGGGCTCTGTGCTGACTGCCAGCTCAGAGCCTGGAGCCTGCTTCAGATTCTGTCTCCCTCTCTGACCCTCCCCTCTTCATGCTCTCTCTCTCTCTCTCTCAGAAATAAAAAAAAAAAATTAAAAAAAAAAAAGAAGCAGATATATTTATAATACCACTCAGGCCAAGGACATCAATTAGTGACTGAGAGAAATGGGGAAAGATGCATAACCACCAATCTGTCAGTGACTGTCACTTCTTAGGCATTTTCCTATTCTGTCTATACACATTACAGATAACTACTTTGGGCCCCTCTCATACTGGTTTCTGGGGACATGAAGGTCAAGATGCTTGGATTAAAGTCTTATGTATCCTTTCCTCCATGTTTCCACTTCACCTCATAAAAGCTACATTTCCATATGCCTTTCTCATATAGGAAAGTGCCTTAGAGGGAACTCTGGTCCTCCTTCTACCTTCTCACTCCTCCCTTCTTGTTCAAGGAGAATGTCTAATCCAATTGGCCAACTTAGATTCAATGAGTTACATTTTCCCAGTGGGCAGGGATACTGTCCCAAAGGCACACAACCCTTCTTTCATTTTCCTTTGCCATCCAGGCTCTAGTGTCATACATTCTCCTTCTCCTTCCTACACAGCTGTCATGCAGGGCAGGACCCCTCTCAGGGAACAAACTCACCATTTTCCTTCTCTCTCTCCTCTACTCCACTATTAACTTTTATGGTTGATGCAGCTAAGTCTAAAGTTCTATTTCACAAAGTTAAGAGTCTGGAGTCTACAAGTCATGCTATTTTTCTCATGATTTGCTCAAGTTTGCAGGTCCTAACATTTAAATATAGGGTAGCAAGTAGGAGATACCACTTGGCCCAAGTTCTAAGCCACAAGCTCCTACAAAGTTTACTAGGGCCTCTAGGTTTGATGACTACTGAGTGTTATACAACTATTAGATAAATGGATTCCCCATTAAGCAATAAGTACTTTGTGTATATATTTTTAATGGTCAAATTTGGGAAAGAAGAGTGCAGTGCTTCTTTTGCTCCAAATCCCTGAGAAGACATAGTTTCCACTGTCCTGGAGTTGACTATCTAGTGGTTGAGAAAAAAGAAATATTAGAAAAATCCAGTAAAAAATATACCTAACCCAGCCTAAGGGAGTCATCAGTAAAGGTTCCTTTCAGAATAGATGCAGAATAGAGACTTGAGTAAGGAATAAGGTAAATAAAGGTCACGGAGCAAGAAGGAACATAGTTCAGTCAGAGGAAACTGCATTAGCACATGTTTAGGGTCAGGCTGTGACCAGGTGAGGCAAGAGCCGCAGGTAGCTAGGGCTGGCGTGAGAGAGCTTACATCCAGTCAGACTTAGCTCATGAGACCCTTGCAGCAAGTTAGGAGAAAGTGCGTATCTTATCCTCCGATTCATCTCTGCATCCCTGAGGACATACCAAAACACTGGCCCCTTCTGACTGGCTCTCACATCTTGGTAAACAGACCAAAGTTGAGCTTCCTTCAATGTTCTAAGCAGGAAATAAATGCCAGTCAAGTCAGGACGATGCAATCCATATAGTGGAATGGCTTTGAGCCTCCCCACTTCCAGGGGAAGCTCTAGGTGAAGAAAAATGATTTACAACCAGGCCTCTAATCACCTTCTATTTTGTCTACTCTCTGATCTGTCTAACTGGTCTACCTACATCAGTTTGACCTTCATTACTTTAGCCTTCAAATCAGCCACACCACAAATCCAAATATGATGTCTCAATAGCTCCCCAATGGCTTTCTGCAGAAAGTCCAATTTCTTTACTATGATGTCACAGATTGCATTCTTAAAGAAGTAGGCCCCGAGACAAAGGTTAGCATACAGGAATGTATTAAGAAGCAGTCTTGGGATCAATCCATATGGAAGGGAAGGGATGGAAAGGGAGCAGGACTGAAAAGAAGCTATAATGTAGTCCCTCAGTCAACCCCAAGGCATGTTCTGAAGCCAGAGGACTTTTCAGAGTTTAACTAAGTAGCGCAAAGTGACCAAGCCTTAATACACACATGTCAACAAGTCTTGGATGCAGACTACCCTGGGGAAAGGGCCGTGTTCTTGGACAAGGCAACTCGATCCAAGGCAAATTCCTAAAAGAAGCTGATAGCTAAGGGCTGCCTTGCCCACAGCATTCCCAGCAACTGGAGGAAAAAGGTCATCAGACCTGAAAGGAGATCTGAGTGATACATCACAGCATCCTGTACGTGTGTCATCCAATGATTTTTATATTCTTTTATGACCTACTATATTAGTTTTCTAGGGCTGCCATAACAAAGCACCACAGACTGGAGTCCTAAACAATAGAACTGTATTTTCTCACAGTTCTGGAGGCTTGAAAGTCTGAGATCAAGGGGCCAGAAAGACTGGTGTCCTCTGAGGGCTCTCTTTTTAGTTTGTAGATGGTCATCTTCTCCCTGTATCCTCACATGGTCTTCCTTGTGTGTCTGTGTCCTACCCTCTTACAAGGACAGGAGTCACATTGGATTTAGGGCCTGCGATGATGAGCTTATTTATTATTGTTTTTTAAGTTTATTTTATTTTAAGAGAGAAAGAATGTATGTGGAAGGGGCAGAGAGAGAAAGGAAGAGAGAGAGAATCCCAAGTAGGCTCCACACTGATAGTGTGGGGCTCAAACTCACAAACCATGAAATCATGACCTGAGCTAAAATCAAGAGTCAGAAGCTCAATGGACTCTGCCACCAAGGTGCCACTTAATGACCTTATTTTAACTTCATCATCCCTTCCAAAAATGTAGCTTCAAATACAGTCACATTCTGAGATACTGGGAGTTATGAGTCTGACATGAATTTTGAGGAGGCGCCTCTAACACCACCTACTTCTTATCATTTCTCCACTCTCAGCCGTTCCCCCCTCCATCTCTAGTCAAATCACATCAAACAGCTGCTTTTTTTTCCCCCTAAATCTTATTTATTTACTTTCAAACAAGTTAACTCCCTAGGAGATGCCACATCACATGGATTCTGTGTCCAATGGCCTCAGCGGGAAGCTTGCTTCAGAATTTGGCACAAACCATGCTGCTGTTCCCTGGAGGCCAGTTACCATTCCCTGGATGACTTGGACTTTAGTTTGCTGCCAGGAGTCACTTTTCCTGTACATGGAAACACATGTCTTGCCTACATAAAATTCGGTTTTATCTCAGGCATAAACACTTTCATTTTTTGAGAAGAGCTGTATGCTCCCTCTGGTTTAGAAGACCTTGCTTACAACCAGAGGAAAACAAAATGGCCTTGGGCCACAGCCTTGGAGACAAAATTGGCATTTTAGAAGTCATGATCCCAGCAGGCCTCCACAAGCTCCAAGATAGAAAAAAAAAAAAAAAAAAAGCTACTGGCTGATTCTGGAACATGCTGGTCTACACATCTATGCTTTGTACAGGCTGTGCCTTCTGCCAGAAATGCTCTTCTTTGTCCCATGAACACCTTTAGGTGACCTGTGTCTCCTTCAAGAGTTAGCTAATGTACTCACCCCTCTCTGAAGCCTTCCTCACAGCGACCTGACTCATTAGGACCTTTTCTCCCAGACCCCATGATGAGAGACTGTTGTCACAGGATCTATAGTGTGTGTGTAGCAGGCATCTGTAAATGTGGGTTGTTTGAGTGTTTGGTTGATAGTTGGTGCGTTGAGTGATTCAGCAAGCATTCTGTAATGACCACGACTTTTATTTTGTCAGTAGACATCAGCATGGGTATGGAGGAAGCTGAAAGAATGGTCACACAATGCAATATTGCTGACTTTGAAGCTGGAGGAAGGGGAGTGTGAGCTGAGGAATGTGGACAGTCTCTAGACGCTGGAAAAAGCAGGGAAAAGGATTATCCACTAGAGCTTCCAGAAAGGAATGCAGCCCTCTTGATTTTAGCCCAGTGGGCCTTCTGACCTCCTGAACTGTAAGACAATAAATGTGTTGTTTTAAGCCACTCAGTTTGTAGTAACTTGGTACAGCAATGGGACACTGGCACACCATTCCAAACAGACCTTTTCCTACTCCCACCCTCATGCTTTCGACCTACTTTGTGTATGCTAGAGAGGGTAACCTAGGTGACCAACACTGGGGAATTTTCCTGACTCAATCGCCTAGGCTTCTGAAGATCCAGGAGAGTCTAACCTTAATGCACTTGGAGAACTCTAGTGAAGGTATGTTCTATATGGACACCATGTTGGGAGTTATGTGATTATACGGGGTCAAATATGCTCTGGCTTGCTCACAGGCTATAGCATAGATAAGGTTATGTGTGTAGTGACCAAGAGCAGGTTCATAAGACGGGCGGAAAGTGGGGCTGGCACGGAGTAAGGTTCCAGGAGACCTGGCATGGACATCACAAAGGTAGCACTCTGCCCCCTCCACACCCTCAGGTATGTTCTTACAAAAATTAATGTTCAAGTTGACAGTAAATCTTGGAAACACTGGAACACAGATTACACATGGGGAAAAGCAGTAGAAAACTGCCAGAGAGGGCACAGTCAGGACTGTGAAAAACCCATCAGACAACAAGGAGCCACGACAGGTTCTTGAGAAGAGATACAGTGAGGCGAGAGTGTGCAGGATGAGCACTGCGGGTGGCACAGACACGAAGCAGAAGGGGAACCTGGGGTGATTATCATGTTCCACTCCAAAGCCAGATCACTGACTTTTCTTACCCTTCCCAACACAATGAGTCTGACAGATCTGAAGTTGTTTTTTTAATCACCATTGACAATATTGTGAACTTCGTTCACTTAATCTCCATTAAAGTCATTGAGGATGATGCATGGAACTTTTAAGCTACTAAACAAAGAAAAAACCCTGAAAATAGATTCTCAAAACTTCCCTATCCATAGCTCATCAGACCAGACCAACAAATACTGCTTAATGTTAAAGGTAAATAATTGGTGTATAAAAATGAGCAATTTTTACTCCCATTCTCTATTAATTGCCTGACATGTTAATGATATTTTAACAAACCATCTGTGGCATTCTTGCAGCTTAGCCTCCATAGGTAGGTGTTGGTCTATAAATTAAAGGATAATAATAAATAAATAAAACTGTAACTAATATCCATCTAGCTTTCCACATTTTTCATGGAATTTTCACATGCATTATGTTACTGGACTGGAGCTGGTCTATTAAGACTTAGAAAGGTTGAAAGCCAGGAGCCAACCCCAGGCGGCAAAGCTCGGAATGCTCTGCTCTTTTCACAGAGTCACAGCGTTTCTTATGTTGGAACAAATGGCACAACATGTGTGAGGAGAGACGGGACATGAAGCCGGATGACAGAATATCCAAGCTACAACACCCAGCAAGGTGACGGCAGAACACTGACTTCCCACAAAACCAACGCGAGAATGGGCCCCCCGACACCCGATGACCCTATTCCAGGCCCGGAAGTCCTGTCCTGAAGTGGAAGCTGTCCGCGGACAACCGGCCTGGCGGATCCAGACATACTGGGTGGAGTATGAGCAGTAGCCAGCAGAGAATGCAGGGTTTTTTGTTTTTATATCTGGAGAAATGGCATTTTGCTGTCACAAAATATGTATGTGATTTGAATGAGGAGGAGTCAACAGATTTGGATGAAGCCATATGCCAGGCACTGCACTGGGGTCTCAATAATATTTGCTTACTGATGTCTCATAAACACTGTGCCACATTGATACAAAAGCCCCACTGTACAGAAAAACAAAGTGAGGACTGGATCCAAGAGTGTAATAAATTCCTCCGTGGTCACAGAGTGCCCCTATCATTTACAGGTTAAAAACCACTCATTGGCGACATACAAAATATGATCTGATGTGCCACCTGCCTACACAGAGAACACACAATGAGGATTAAATCCAAGCCCACCTTTCTCCCAAATCCATGTTTCTGTATTTGTTGAAGAATACAATTAATAGGTGCTGAATGAAAAGATGAATATACACGTTTCTACCATGCCATGCTCCTTGAGATGGGGTACACAGAGAGGAAAAGGGTAATTACGAGATTTTTAAAAAGCAACCAAAAGGGAAAAATGGACAAACCTAGTGAGCAGCCAGAGTACTCCCAAAGAACATTCGCCTCGACCCAGACCCAAGTGGATCTATGATGGTTATTCTGAGGAAAGCGGCCACACAAGCTTGAAAGATGTCTGGGGCACTGACACCCCCTAGGAAACATGGCCCCAGGGTCACTGTACATCGTGGTCTGATGAAGGGATGTGGTGTGGAGTACAGAGGCCACCCACTCTCCCCCATCAATGCACAGCCCTGCTTAACAGCACTTTTCTTGTGGGTGGCTCTCCCGTCTGAGACAACAGCAGTGACATTTCAAGGTCGACCCCTCACATGCTCCACTTTCCACTACTAATGGCTGGGACTTGAATCCATTGTCAGGACCAGCTTCCAGTCACCAGACACAGAGCCAGTGCATCAGGAATCCAAGTCTCCACTACAAGCACGACAAAGATGTCCAGGAGGAAGCTTCTTGGCCTTTGAGGCACAGAGCTACATGGCCCATGTGGGATAGTGGTGCATCCAGTGGGGGCACAGTGATACTGCAGCTATCATTTGGCCAGTGTTGCACGGGTGACCCAATCCCTGTTTCATCCTCTTCCTCCCCACCACAACCACTACCATCATCCTTGGGGACATTAATGTGCAAGGCTGACTCAGCCAACTGTTGTCATGGTGTTATGAGAAGCAGTTGAAAATGAAAAAGACCTCCTACCTTCACATCCCACCCTCGAACAATGACTCATTTGTGACTCCTTCATCAATCTGTTTCTTCCATCTCTGCCTCAGTTTCTTCTCTGCAAAATAAGAATTGCCATGAGATTTAATGGCAAAAGCCATCTAAAGCACTTAGTGTTGTATTTATTGTAATGTTGGTGACATTTTTACCTCCCCATCCCCAGCTGCCATACCCTGGATCTTATGGTCACCATTCAGAAAGTTTCTGGCTTTGAAATCTTGACAGTCTAACATCTGACCACAGCCTAGGTATTCTCAGCTCTGTTAACTATCTGCCATCTTTTGTCAGAGCTCATCATGATATCCCACTCTGAGTTCTCTATGCACATCCGCTCCCTGTTCTAGAGTCCTTCATCCCATGGCTCTAAGCCATCATTTTATCAATTCTCTGGCTCACTGCTCTATAGCTCCCCAGCCATACTTCCCACAAGTAGAACCACGAGGCAAACCAGCCATCTGCTTATGACGCTGCCCTATCAGTTCTCTCTTTATGCTGCAGATGACAACCCAGCGATGCCCTATGGTGGGCCCCATCCCAGCTGTGGCATTAACACCCCTGGGTCCTCAGGCAGCTCACCTCCATTGTTCTAAGTTGACCTGCTACAATCTGTCAAGCCCCCGGCCCCACTTTGTTCCCTTGTGTCACAGAAAAGCACCTTGCTTCCTACTTCAAACTGATCAGGGGCGGGGGGGGGGGGGTGACATGTAAATTCTCTCAATGTTTTATTTCATTACCCACAAATTTGGAACCCTTCACATTTCTTCCTGCCACATCTTTCTCTTCAGAGGAAGATGAGTCTGCTTGTCCCTTCCTCTGTACCATGCACCACTCAGGGGTCTTCCCATCAGTTATCACTTCTGTATTCTGTCTGGTGGGGTTCCCCCCACCAAAGACCCCTTGCCACGAGCATATAAATATGCTTGGACTTCCGATACCTCAAAATTAAAATGAAAATCTCCCTTGGCCCTCTACCTCCCTCCAGCTCCCTCACACAGATAAGCTCCTTCAAAGCATTGTCTATAGTTGTCCTCTCTGCTTCTTTACCTTCCACTAAATATGCAGATGGGTTTCCCACGATACTTCTCTAAGAAGGTCAATAACAAACACGGAACTTCACTGGACTCCCTTTTCTTCCTCACTTCTCCTATCTAAGAATCCAAAAGTTCCATCAACTCTGATGCTCCGTGCATGAGAGCTGTTAATTCTGTCCCATATCTCCATTCAACTATCATTAATGTGTCCCAACCTTCCAAACTTATCCAAAGACATCTAAATCACACCCTTCTCCAAGCTGGCCCCTACTCCATGCCAAAAAAGGAAAAGAGGGAAAGTAGGAATATTTTTCTCCATACTCACATTCTGAAGTGGTTCCCACTATATTGCATGGCAGACCTGCTCCCCTCTGCATGATGTACAAGGAAGGTTCCTTAAGATCTGGGGGCAGTGCATGTGGCCACCATAAGGGCTAACTATGTGCTCATGAGTTCTCCTCAGTCAGGGTGCATATCCATTGGCTTCTTTTACAAAATACTTTCAGTAGGACATTAAAAGGGTTTCAAAATTTTCAGAAGAAACTCATCAAATGCTGGCATTTCAGAGAAAATTCATCAAATAATGGAATGCTTTTATGACATAACGTACTGAGGAATAGATTTTATATGGTTATTTCTTGAGACATTTCTCAATGCAGAAGGTACCACTCAACAAAGATGCTGTGAGAGGGGACATTCATATGAGCCAGATGTTATTTCACGTGACATTTGCAAGTACAAGATCAAAATTTCCTTCCTCCTGACCACAGCATATCCAACTGCTCATTCCAACTGTCAACCCTTAGATTCCAGCATTCTGACTGAGGCAGTCATTTCTGTGCTCCTTTCCAGAGGAGGACCCTGAAATTCCAAAATGAAAGAGAACTTTCTTCAAGTCCCAGTTGTCCATAGCTGAGTTGGGAGCAAACCTGGTCTCTTGCCACTATGGTGTGGGGTGTCTGGCCACAGATGCTGAGAGTCCACTTGGTCCAATATGAGAAGCCCCTTAATTGTTAACAGTGTGTTGTTAGCACAGAGGCTGTGATCGGTAAAAAGGCCAAGGGGCCACAGGCAAGTACACAGGCAGATGAGGAGGAGGACAGAAAGGAAGAGGGGAAGACTCCAAGGAGAGGATCAGGGATGACATACAAGCAGCCACAGTGGATAAAGCGTGGGATGAGGG